GCACAGTGTGAGCCTGTTTGTCTTCAGTGAGACTGAGAAGATCTCGATTTAACTTTATATTTTTCTGTATAGTATTTTGTTCCTATATTTTTATATAAGAATAAAATGTTTATAGTTATCAAATATAACTGGTGCTGCTGTACTTTAAAAATAGGTCTCAGTGACCTACAGTGCATGTCTTGTGAACATAACCAAGCGTTCCCTTATGCAGGTGAGGTTTCTCCTGCTTTGTGTTACCTCCAAGTGGCACTGAGCTTCAGACTGAATTAATGGATGTGTTAATTGCATGAGGAATCCTCGCTGAACCATCCTGCTCTGGCCAGGTGAGGGGAAGGGAAAGGGTCAGGCCATACACCTGGGATATCCTTTAAACTGAAAATAACTCACTGACATGAGAATTTTTGGCATTTTAACAATGATCAGGAAAATAAGGGCTGGTAGAATGACATTGTGAGGTCTCTGGTAATGCCAGCTAAACCAGAAGGAGCAGGATGCTCTCTGTTCTCTGTTCTCAGCTATTTTGAGGCATCATTTATGTTCAGTCAACTCCAACCCTGTCCTACCACAATGAATCTGGAAAATTTTAAACGTACACAGGAAAAAGAATTAAAATGTTTTGATTTGAATCCTTTGACTTTTAATTTTCTAGGTAACACTTGTTTTCTGCTTTTATACAACTCAACAGGAATAAGAGATACAAACTTAAATGCTATTAAAATAATAATGGAAGATGACTCTTTCATGTTCTCAGTTTTCAAATCCACAGTTTCAGAAAATGTTCAAAGATATGTGAAGAAACCTTGTAACACTGTTCTGTTTCCAGGTTTGCAGCAGGCTGCAGGAGAGCACACCTAGCTGGTGTGCAGGAAGCCATCAGCATGGAGCGCTGATAAAAGGTCAAACGTGTTAATTAAATATTTGCTCATCTCTGTCTGGAGTCAAAGGGGCAGATTCTGGGATGGAAGGAAGGAACAAATCAGTGTCTCTTCCCTGTGCAGGGCAGCTGTCATGAGAGGCTGAGCTGCTTTGCTGGTGTTTTAGGCATGAAGCCACTCTGTGGCTATTTCTGCCTCTGTCTCTGGGAAGATTTTGTTCTCATGGAGCTGGGCGGCCCCTCGGCAGTTCCTGCAGTGAAGGGAACTCTGTGTGAGGTGAAGGTAAAGCCAGGCAGTGCTGGGGCTCCTGCAGCCAGGGCCTTGCTTGGAGCTGGGCACGGCCACTTCTTAACATTTTTCTCTCCAGGCTGTTGCAGGGCAGCACCTTTTTTAATTTTAATTCCTGTAAAAGCAGGCCTGGGGGACAGCCCAGTGCTGGACAGAGCTGGCTGTGGTGGCTGCTTGGATGGAAACGATGCAGCCCCTGCTGCTCCCTGGGGAGGTGTGGTGTCAGAGGGGCGGCTGGTGGGGAAGGGGAAGCTGGAATCAGAGCTGTGCTCTCAGAGGAGGGCTGTCCTCCGTGTCTCCCTCTAACAGGGATGAGCTGGTGTTAGGCTGTGGTAATCCATGGGGTGACCAAGAGGGGATGAGCAAGCAGCCAGCTCCTGGCCTCCGCATCACGGGGGCTTTGCTGCCGTAGCACCAACCGTCACACTTGAGCTGTTGGTTGGTAGTGACTCAGGTGACATTTTGACAAACACAATCAAAAATGTTGCAGATGACAAAAGGTAGTGCTAAAGCAGGAGCCAAGAAGTGAGCACAGCTTGGGGTGTGTGCACATGAGGCAGGACCAGCCAGTGCTTTGCTCTGCTCTGGTTGCACCCGCTGCTTCCTGGAGGGCGGAAAAGCGGCTATTTTATGTGTCCCGAACCAAATTGGATTAAAACCAGGCAGTGCAGCAAGTGAAACAAGCAGCTTAAGCTGAACCTTGTTGTACTGAGGTAGCCAGAGCGTCCCAGTGGGATTTCATTTAGTTCTCCTTTCAATTTGTGAGGAGACGTGACAAGATTTTCTGCTTATGTAGATTTGCAGAGTTTCTACCAAGGCAGTAAAATTCCTTAACGGACCCAGCTTTCTGCTGGTTCATGAAGGAGAGAGAATATGGGGAAAAAATAGTTCAGAGAGGAGGAAGAGGAAAGAAACGAAGGAGCAAGCAAAAACTTGTTTTCTGTTGGGTTTGATTTGCATTGAATGCCAAAACTAGTAAACGTGAAAGAACAAATTTCACTGCCAAGAGACCCAGGGAGAGGTGGCACAGTTTCCCTTGCTGGGGTGGCACTTTTGACTTTCTGTTGGCAAATCTTCGGTGAAAGCTTTTTCTATCTGCAATATGAATCAGCTGAGTGCTCAGACACTGTTTGAGTCCAGCTTCATCCCTTATCCTTGCAGAGTCTCCTGCAAAGTCGAGCAGAGGGGGTCACAGTGCCTTAGCAGCAGAACTGCCCCTCTGTTGAGCTGCTGTTGGCCCCTGCCAGCACTCAGCCTGCAAAGTCAAGCATGTTGGTGTCAACAGCCTCCCTCAAGATGACAATATTTATCATTATTTACTTGCTTTTGCAGTAGTTAAAGATATTTGGAGATACTGCTTAGGAGGCAGAAGCACCTCCTGCTCACATTATTTCTCTTTGCCAGATGAGATTTGTCTTTGCTCCCCTCCAGATGGCAGCCAGAGCTCTGGGTGCCCTGGTGTTACAGAGCACTGGGTGCTCTGGGCCTGTGGGAAACTCCAGTGCAGGGTGTTCATTGATAAACTCTGGGAGCCACAGCAGCATCCTGAAAGCACCAACGGCACGTGGGATGTTAATCCTCTGCTGTCTCTTGCAAAATAGGCTTCTAAGTTGCAAGAAAAAGGGGAGTTTGGGGATCTGTGCCCTAAAAAGCTTATCTAATCCTTGGGACAAACTTTGCAGGTAACAGATTGTCTCCAGCCCATGCTGGTCAGGAGAAAAAAATACCTCAAACTAATTTCAGTGATTATCCCACCCTGTGAAGCAGAATTAATTTGAGGGTCCAGGGGCTTTAGTCTTGCATCAAGTCCAATTTGGTGTTTCTGCTGGCAGCAGAGGTCGTGGAAGGGGGAGTGAGCCCCCAGTGCTTCCAATGGTATCAAGCTGGCATCAGCACTGAGTGCTCAGGAAGGCAGAAGCAGAACTGGGAAAGAATTGTGGCAGGTTGGAGAAAGGGCTGGACAATTGCCCTCTGTTCTTGTTTTTTGGGTTTTTTTTTTGTTTGTTTTCTAAAGGTAGGTGCTAACTGCAACACAAAGCTGCAGCAATATGGGGGGCAACAGTCTCTGCAGTAATGACCTGAGGTTTCTGAGGGTTTGTCAGGCAAGGATGTGTCAACAGCATCGGTCTTTGGGGAAACAAGGTCAACTGGGCTGAAGAGTTGTGCAGGAGAGCCATGAAGCTCCCCTTTTTGCCCAACACTCACAGGGCTGTAGTTGCAATATTGTCTCCTCTTTGTCCACAGCTTCCTTGGAAGGTATTTCTGTGGTCTTCTGCTTATCTCCAAACATGGATGAGTGGACTCTGACCTACAAGAAAAGCAGAAACAGAGTGGGGCTGAACCTGAGCATGTCATGCAAATAAACCAGGAAATACCAGGCCAGTGTTCCTGCCTCAGCCAGCAAGAAAAAGTGCTGAATGGCAGCAGTAACAAAGCACCTGACTTGGTTCTCTGCAGCAGCATTTGCTGGTGGAGAGGATCATCTGTTGGGAAAGACAGCGCTGAAGTTCTGGGGGATGCACAGCTTTGGAGGGACGCAGCTGAGTCAGGCTCAGGCAAGGAGAGGGCCTGAGCACACTGTGCAGGCAGAGCTGGGATCGGAGCAGTGCCTGTGACCACATGGGAGCAAGCAGGCTGCATCCAATTAAAAACTGGAGCAGCTCCTCCACATGAACCGAGGAAGAACTTTTGTTCTCCTGGAAGCAGTGGAGAGCAAGAACACTGCTGGGAAGGAGCAAGAGGTGTCCCAGCAGCTCAGCTCACCCTGGCCTTGCTCCGCTGCGCTGGGGACATTTAAATGGCATTTGTTGCTTGAAGTGGTGAGACTTAAATGTGCTGCCCAGTACAGAAGCAGGGGACTGCAAGTACTTAATGCAGCACCCAGAGACTGAGAGCCTTGGTGGTAAAATGCTTAAAATGTGGCAATGAGGGAATTTCTGCTGAGGGAGAGGGGCTGCAGTAGCAAGGAGCTGCTGGGGTTATCACACAGGCAGAGATGTCCCTGTGCCCAAAGACAAACCTCCTCCTTGTTTAACTTACTGCATGGACATGGGGAAAATAGGGCTCTTTTATGAAATGCTTGTTTCCTGATGGACTGTGCAGAATGGTAAAATCCAAGCCTGGGAGGAGGTTTTCCTTGTGCAAAACATGACTCTCCGGAGAGCTCCCAAGGGTGTGGGAAGGAGAAGTGAGCTGAACTCAGCTCCTTTGCTCCCCTCTGTCCTCATCCTGCAATGGATGGAGGAGCAGAGCCAGCTCTCACACTGGGCTAACTTCAAATAACTCCCACGAAGCCAAATTGGCTGCCAAGCACGGGCTGGATTTTGCTGGCTTTTGTTTTCAAGTGTTCCCAGCTGCGTGGCCCCTGGGTGCCAGCAAAGCCACTTTCCGAGCGCTGTGTCCCAGCGTGACACTCGGATGAAGGAAGTGCAGGGACTTTGCCAGCTGAGCCCTCTCCCTCACACCTTCACCTGCACAAGGTGGCTGCAGGTTGGTGGCTGTGCTGGGCTCAGGGTGCTCTGGTAGCTCCTGGTGTGGGTGTGACAGTCGGTGGCATCCTCAAGAGAAGGGCTTTTCCCAGGCAGGATGAGGCAGCCTGGGGCAGGAGGGGAGCGGCCCTACAGCTCTGCTTCACCCCAGCTCACCCAGCCAGGGCAGAGCCATGGAGCACCCTGGCATCAGGCTAAAGCTTCTGACCTTGGCCTGATGCCAGCTTGGGCTAGGAAAACTGCTCCTGGAATCAACCAAGCAGAGGAATTGAGGTGGGATTCTCCCTGTCCCCCATTTCCATCTGTCGTTGGAAGCAAATCTGACATTTAGGGGCAAACCCATCCTAGGAAGGTGCTGAGGGAACACCCAAAAAACTGTGGTTGCTGAGGTGGAGGTGGAGCTGTGTCCCACTGCTGCCACTGACCCAACACCTGGACAGGTACTTTTTTACTGGGACATTTGGGGTCTGGCTGCTGGGGCAGAGCGGGCAGCAGCATCCCCAAAATGCTGCTCTGAGGGGAGCTGTGCGGTTGCAGACACCACTTTCAGATGATCCATCACCAAATTCAGCATCCAACCCCCCCTTACTGCCCTAGGATCCCATTTACAACAGGATCAGCCATTGGAGATCCTGCTCTGGGGACAAGATCACTCTTACAGCCCCATTTCTCCATCCCCATGAAGAAAGCCCAGGGGCCGTGATGAGTGTGACCTGGCAAATCCCACCCCCAAAACACAGTGACCGGCACTGACAGGGCAGGAGGTGCAGCCAACCCACCCAACCTGGAAATGAGCCACCTCATGGCACCCCCTGAACGTGACTTTTCGGCCCTTGTTCAGCTCCCTGCTCCTTGCAGGGAGGGCCAGCCTGCTGCAGGCTGTGGGATTTACCCCATGCCCTCCTGCCAGCCCAGCATCCTGCCCCAGGAGGGGCCACAAGTGCATCCACACACAGGGAGATCATCCATCCACCTGATAGTCCGGCACTCAGCATGGAGAAATGACAGTGGCAAAGTTGACTGTCAGCATTTTATTAAAGGTTTTGGGGTTTTTTTTTAGTTTTTTAGTTGATATTGTTTCTTCATTCTTCTGTAGTTTTCTCTCATTCTTCCATATTTGTCGGTATTTTTTCGTTTACCTGTAGTTTTATTTTGCTCCTCTGTATTTGTTCTTCAATCTTCCGCATTTCGTCTTTGATCTTCCACATTTTTTCCTCAATCTCCTGTATTTTTTCTTCTTTCCTACGTATTTTTATTTTGTTCTCTGTTTTGTCCTCAATCTTTGATATTTTCTCTTTGTTTTCCTGTATTTTTAATTTGTTCTTCCGTATTTTTTCTTTGATCTCCTGTATTTTTATTTCGTTCTTGCGAATTTCCATTTCGTTCTCTGTTTTTACTTCACTCTCCAGTATTTTGGTTTCGTTCTTTGGTATTTTGGTATTTTCTTTGTTCTTTAGTTTTCCTTTGGCTGCCTTTATTTTTTCTCTGATCTCCTGTATTTTTGCTTCGTTCTCTGTATTCTTCTGTATTTTTTCATCAAGCTCCTGTATTTTTCTGTTGAGCTTCTGTATTTTTTCTTTGTTCTTCATAATTTTTTCTTTGATCTGCATTTCTTCTGCATTCTTCTGTATTTTTTCCATACTCTGCAGCCTTCTTTCTTCCTCTTCCTGTATTTTTTCTTTGATCATCTCTAATTTTATTTCATTCTTCCGTAACTTTTCTTTGATCCGCTGTATTTTTTTGTCCTCCTTTTTTTTTCTTTCATTCTCTGGTTTTGCTTCATTCTTCTGTACTTTTTCCACAATCTTCAGCCCTCTTTCTTCATTTTCCTGTATCTTTTCTTTGATCTGCTGTATTTCCTCTCTGTCATCCTGCATTTCTATTTCATTCTCCTGTATATTTTCATCGAGCTCCTGTATCTTTCCTTTGATCTGATGTGTTTTTCCTTTGATCTGCATTTCTTCTTTGTTCCTCCTTATTTTTTCTTTGATTGCCTGTATTTTTTCTTTGAACTCCGGTATTTCATTCTCTGTTTTTACTTCATTCTTCTGTATTTTTTCCATATTCTTCAGCCTTCCTTTCTTTTCCTGTATTTTTTCTTTGTGTGTCTGTATTTTTATTTCATTGTTCCGTATCTTTTCTTTGAGCTGCTGTATTTTTTCTTTGCCCTCCTGCATTTTTTCGTCAAGCTCCTGTATTTTTTCGTCAATCTCCTGTATTTTTTTGTCCAGCTCCTGTACTTTTCCCTTGTTCTTAATTCCTCCTTTGAGTTGCATTCCTTCTTCGTTCTTCAGTACTTTTGATTTGTTCTTCCTCATTTTTTCTTTGATTGCCTGTATTTTTTCCATGCACTCCTCTGCTTCTATTTCGTTCTCTGTTTTTACTTCATTTTTCTGTATTTTTTCCACATTTTTCAGCATTCTTTCTTTCTTTTCCTGTATTTTTTCTTTGTTCATCCGTATTTTCATTTCATTGTTCCGTATCTTTTCTTTGATCTGCTGTATTTTTTCTTTGTCCTCCTGTATTTTCACTTCGTTCTCCTGTATTTTTTCTTTGATCTCCTGCATTTTTTCGTCGATCTCCTGTATCTTTTCTTCGTTCCTCTTCATTTTTTCTTTGTTCTCTCGCATTTCTTCTTCATTCCTCTGCATTTCTTCTATGTAGCTCTGTAATTTCCCTACGTACCTCTGTATTTCTTCTTCGTTCATCGGTAGTTTTTCCTCATCCTGCTCTTGTTGTTCCCCTTTAATCCAACCGATCTCAAAGCCCCGTTTCCCCATGATCTCTATTACTTCTCTATCACTGGGGCAGATGAGTTGCGAGTGGGAACCGAGAGCTTTCGGGCAAAATCCGGTCACAGCCACTGGGCACCTGCTGGGAGAGGCCCGCGGCCCGCCCGCCGCCTTCCCGCCGGGGTGAGCTCGGCTCCTCGCGTCCCTCCCCAGCACCGGCGACGGCTCCGCAGTGTCGCGCTGGGGGGCTGAGGGGGACCCCTGAGGGGTTGCGGGGCCGTGAGGGGCTGAGGGGGCCCCTGAGGTGTTGCGGGGGCCGCTGAGGGGCTGCGGGGCCGTTGGGGCCGTTGGGCGCGCGCTGCCCCCGAGGCGCCGCCTCGCGCCGCTGAGGCGACAACGGCCGCGCCGCGTGCCGGGGGAGGGCGGGGCCCGCGCAAGCCACGCCCCCTCCCTCCTCCGCCCGGAGAGGGGCGTGCCCCGCCGCCGTCACGCGCTGATTTGCATACGCCGTGCGTGCCGTGGGGCGGGCGGATCCAAGATGGCGCCGTGCGGACGTGTCCGGAGCCGCTGCCCGGGCCCGGCGCTGCTCCTGCTGCTGGCGCTGGCGGCGCGGCCGGCGGCGCCCGGCCCTCCCCCCGGCCCTCCCGGCGTCGGCGGTGCCCTGCCCGGAGTGGCGCAGCCGGCGGGGCCGGGCGCGGCCGTCCCGCGGAGCGCCCGCGGCGGCGGGTCGGGCAGCGGGTGGAAGCTGTCGGAGGAGGCGGTGTGCCGGGAGGACGTGGTGCGGCTCTGCTCCAAGCACAGCTGGGCCAACAACCTCGCCGTGCTCGAGTGCCTGCAGGACGTTCGCGAGGTGAGGGACGGGCCCGGGGCCGGGCCGGGCCTGCCCGCGGCGGCGAACAAAGAGCGGGGTCCGCGCCGCCCGCGGCCGCGCCGCGCTCCCCTCATGGGTTTGTGCTCCAGAAAGCGGGGTTTGCGCTGCCGAGCTCCGTGAGGCGGGCGAGCCGCCGGCGGGGTGGCGGTGAGGGCTGCGGAGAGCGGCCCCTCCTCGTCCGCACCTCGGGGCTCCGGCAGCGCCCGGCGGGCAGGGAGAGCCCCCGGCGCTGGCTTTGTGCTCTGCCTCCGGAGCCTCCGGGGCTATTCGCTTCCAGAGCCCTGCCCGCGTAGTGCTGAGCGAAGGCGCCGTGCTGGTAGCAGCAGTGACCTGAGGAGGTGTTTTTTTTTCACGTTCGCGTTCCTACCTTCTCGTGGAGCTTCGCTGCAGAGGCGGCTGGTTTCCAGTCCTCGCTTGTGCGTGTATGAAACTCGATATACAGTCTTTAGATCTGGCTTAGTTCACGGGGAGGTTTATGTGTTGTTCCCAAACATTTATCGTGAGCGGTTTTAAGTCCAGCTCAGGAAAAAAACTGAGTTGCCAGCTCAGAGTCTTCCAGCTCCATCTTTTCATTCATTCCTTGGTTCTTGCTCCGTTTGAAGCAGCCTTTGGGGGAAGTGCTTTTGGTGAGCTCTTCTGGTGTTGAGGTCTGTGTAGTTCTTGGCTTCTCTGCTATGAAGTCCAGGAATGTCAGGCTGGGTCGGTTCTGATGGTGTTTTTACCCAAGTGGGAATGCGATTAGGAAAAACCTGGGCTCGTTTCTCATCCGTTATTATGGAGACAGCAGATGGCAGTGGCAATGGTTACTCTCATCCAGGGGAATCTTGAACAGTGAGTGTCAGTGATTACTTCTGGCTTATAATCCAAGACTAATTTAGATTTTTATCCAATTTGGTGTTTTAATTTTGGGCGGTTTATTAAGACATTTGTAGATGCTTTAAGCGAGTCCTGCTGCAGCATCTATCACAGTTATGAAACACTGATAATTTGCTTTCTGAATAACTTGTCCTTTGCTGTTTCTTCCACCTGTCTGGGACCTCTTGGCCTCCTTTTAGGGAGGCATCCTATCCAAGAGGATCTTGGAAGCTGCTCTCACAGGCGGTTGCTCACAAGCTGCCAGCCTGCCAAAAAGGCAGGCTCTTGTTCCTTTCTTTGCAGTTGCATAGCCCCTCCCTTCTCTTTTCATAGTTCCAGTGCCTGTTGGTCTTCTGCCATTTTAGCAAGGTGAACCTTTTTGTGGTCTAGTTTATCAGCTTTCTGCTGGAATAGTTATGTCCCTTTTCTGAGTTAAAGCCCAGAGGGGGGTGGGTGCAGGGCTGGGGCACGGAGCTGTGCAGGGAGGTGAGGGCATGCTTTGCATCATGCTTTATTTTCAGCATGTGCAAACCCTTATGCTGGCTCTGCACATCTCCTGAGAACTCTGCTCTTTTGAACGTCTGCTTGTGGTTTTCCTATTCCTGGGCCTGCCTGATGTCAGTAGTTTGCTGGCTGTTGGTCTTGTCTGGCTGTAGTGCTGCCTGATGCCCAGTGCTGAGGGTGGATCTTCTCCAGGGTGGCATCCCAGGCATCGACAGGACATCTCAGGGTTCTTTTGGATTGAGTTTTCTCTATGAAGGTGCCACTCTGCAGCCCTGTCCTTGTTTGTGTGTCAGCCTGCAAAGAGCACTGTCAGCTGGCCTTACCCTCAGCAGTTCTGCTGGAACACTGATGGGATGGGCTGTATCCTGACGCCCCGAGAAATTAATTAAAATAACTGACTTCTGCATACCCCTACCGTTTAACTCTTGATATTTAGACTGTGAATAAAAGTCATGAGTTGTAAACATTGGGTAGCACTTCATCTGATAGGGAGCAGGGTCAGATATGGGCTCAGATGTTTCCTTTGTGTTGGAGGTGACAGCAGAGGAAACCAGTGACGTGTTGGCTGTTTCACTGTTGTTGATATAACTTTTAATTTTGACCCTAGAGCATCTGACTGCTTGTTTGGACAATACCAGAAAAGTGACAATTACATTTTAAAATGGATCTAGTCTGAGTCATACAGCCCACTTAAAAACAGTCAGGCTACAGTAGATGGAAGACTTGGGGGAGTTTTGTGCTTGAGAGCATCAGTGTGTGGACACTACTTCTCTACAGTAAGATTTTTAGATGCAGGTAGACTGCAGAAGCAGCCTTTCTGCTGTAGGTGTTTGTCTTACTTTTCTCATAAAAAATATTCCTCTAAAGGGGTGAAACTTTCAGTTTGAAACTGGAAGTGTTACTGATAACGGTGTGATACACGTAAGCTAGGACACTTTTAAGTCTGAATAACCTGGGGAAACAACTGCTTGTAACCTTCCTATTGAGTCCATAAAGCATAGAAAAAAGAAAAGGTGTGCTTGTTTTGTTGGTGTGAATGTGATCATGTTGTTCCAGTACCTGCTGATTTCTAGGTGTGGAAGTCTTTAGGGTGAGTCCTCCCTTGCTTTTGTTGGGTAGTTCTCTTTGAGTGTGAAGGACAGAAGTGTTGAGTTGTGGTTGACTGGGATAGGAGCTCAGCTTGTAGAGTGAATGTTGAGAGAAGCTGTTTAACACACATGTTCAGTAAAGAGTGGTTTGACATAAAGAAAACAGTAATAAAAAACCAAAAACTGACCCACACCCAAAACCCAGCCCAAAACAACAGTGGCACAAAGCAAGAAAACCCACCCAAACCAACCCCCAAACCAGTAAATTTTTAGGTTTTGGTTTTGAGAGGTTACTTGTAGAATGTCAGTTTGAAGTATTATCAACACAGTTATTTAAGCACTGTGTATTTTTAGAATTCTTTTAAAAAGAAAAAGCAGACCCCCACACTGATACCAAATACTTTTTACCACTGATTTTTCCACTGAGTGCAGAGTCCACTTCTGCAGGGGCAGAACTCTTCTGCATTTCAGGCTGTCCAACTTTTTGAAAGACAGAAATCAGAGGAAAATCATTGTTTTCTGCTTTCCTTTTGTAGTAGAAGGATGGGAAGGATGCTTCTTGGTTGGAAGAAGTAGTGGTCAGAGCTACTCAGCTTAAACATTTTTGAATATAATCAAAATATAGAATAAAACACATGTTTGGGTGCATTTTGCAGATGAATTAACTTCCTTCTGGTTAAAAGTACTTGTGCACTTATTACAGTTTTGAGTGACTTAAAATTTTGTTATCAAGGTTTTAATTGATATTCACATGACTTTGTCATCACATAAAAAGAGTAGAATGAGGTAGTGTACAGGTGTGTTTTTAAAGACTGTGTTCCAAAGTGCTTCTTTCTGAAAGGATTCTGGTTTGGAGCCTGTTTCTGGAGGGGCTTCAGAGCTTGCATTTCACTGAGCATGGGCTGCAGCCCCTAAGCCCTTTTTTGTGGGCTGCCTGTTAAACTGATTTGCATGGTGGCTATAGTATAAATGAACTCATGAAATAAATATTAATATTTTTGCCAGGTAACAATTTTTGCTTGATTAATGATGATTTGCATTTGAAGCAAAAGTTGTCGAATTTGAGGCAGGAAACATTAGAAGGTATGAAAATAATCTTAAGCAGTAGCTCTCTAATCAGGTTTACTAATGGAGCATAATTTTACTGTTAAAACCTACCTTGGAGCTGGTTAATTGGTGAATGAACTCGATGCCATAGTTGTTGAGCTTTACTTGCATTGCACTTGTAAAGATTGTGTAATATTTAAAGCATTATATTAATCTGTATAATGCTAATGCATTAGGGGCTAAATATTTTTCCTAAGATCAAACAGTCGTGGTTAAGTTGGGATTAGAGATCAAAGTCTTGGCTTCCTGCTACTTTCTTCATCCTGAATGGTTCTGTTTCTTTGGCAGCACCTTTGTGGCAAAGCCAGTGCCTGAATGCTCTGCTTTTTGGAAAGAATAAGGCTCTCTTAACGTTGAGGACTGGGTTAAGAACAAGACAAGTTACTATGAAAGCTGTGTATTTCAAGAATAGTATTTTTCCTGTTTTGTCAGATGTTTATTCCATGTAAAAGGCCAGAAAATTAATTTGATATGACTTACTGGGCTAGGGAGTGTGTACCATTTGATGAGCTGAGAACTGTCATATTTCTTCTGTTTAAATGTTTTATTCCTCACTCTTTATGGACCTGAGCTCCTTAAGTGATCTGATAAAACAGTGCCGGTGAAATTACTTATTTTAAAGTTATAGGTGGAAAACAGAAACCAGACAGCAACACGTGCTTGGAGTCTTTATCTCTTTTGGTAATACTGTTACTGTAGGAAAAGTTGTGTGGGCTCAGTCTCTGTCCTGGTCCTGTAGTGTTTCTACTTTTTTGGTAAATGGATTGGAAATGCAAAGGCTTCCCTGAAGCTTTTTGCTTGCATTGAGGCAGATGAGTGTGATCTGTTGCAGTAGCCTAATTTATTTTATTTTATTTTTCGTCTTTTATCTCCCTAATTTACTGAGTTTAAGATCAAAGGTTTTGTTTTGCCTCGACATGCGACATTATCCCATATTTGAGCACATATTCATGTTGTTCCCATCTCTCACAGCTTTCCCATGCACAGGTGGCATTTAAAGTACCCTTTTTGAGATATCTCATTTGTGGCAGCAAATGACAGGTTACCTGTCCAGAGCTAAAAAGGGAATTGAGGGCTGTGGATTAAATGTAGGGTGAGGGTGGGCTAGTTTTTAGGAAATGCAAATTGTGAAGCCACTCTTAACCCCGAACTGACCATCTCTTTCAGCACTTATGGTTTGTTGGTTTTTTTTTTCCACAGGCATTTTGCCTGCCCTTCAGGGGAGCTGTTTTAAGTGGCAACTGCCCCGTTTCTCAGGGTGATAAGCTGTGGAATGGAGGCTGTTCTGGTTCTCTGATCGTTCCTATTGCAAAGGAGGAGGCAGTTAGTATTCCAGTGATGCTCTTACAGTGCCTACAGCATTATCATCTGGTTCAGATATCAACACTCAAAGGGTTGGGTTTTTTTAAAGGCAATGATCAGAAA